CTCTACATGTTTGTCTTTTTATTGTTATTGTAAACACTTTATCTTTTAACACTTTATTTCCGTTATTTATGACTAATTTTTGTCTCATTTATCTCTCCAGTTACAATATATCCATAGATTTCTACCTTTGTGTTTGTGTGTACTCACCTAATTGTGCTTGCGGGAGTCGAGCTTTGACTCTTTGGTCCCGAATCTCAACAGGTGCACACATTCCTGAGCCTATTGGGCTCTATCATATCAACATTTGAAACTGTGTATGGAGTCAGCCTCCACCACATCACTTCCTAGTGCATTCCATTTACTAACTACTCTGACACTGAAAAAGTTCCTTCCAATGTCTCTGTGGCTCATTTGGGTACTCAGCTTCCACCTGTGTCCCCTTATTCGTGTACCACAAGTACACGAACCGTGTTAAATAATCCATAACAGGGAAGATTAAATAATCTACCCTGTCAATTCCCCTGAGAATTTTATATGTGGTGATCATATCTCCCCGAGCTCTTCTGTCTTCCAGCGACGTGTGGTGTGTTTCACGCAGCTTTTTCTCGTAACTCATGCCTCCTGGTTCTGGGACTAGCCTAGTGGCATACCTCAGAACTTTTTCCATATTCGTCTTGTGCTTGACAAGGTACGGGCTCCATGCTGGGGCCGCATACTCCCGGATTGGTCTTACATGTGTGTTTTACAAAGTTCTGAAAAGATTCCTTACACAGGTTTCTGAAGGCAGTTCTGATGTTAGCCAGCCTTGCATACGCCGCAGATGTTATTCTCTTGATGTGGGCTTCAGGAGACAGGTTTGGCGTGATATCAACTCCTAGATCTTTCTCTCTGTCAGTGTCGTGAAGGACTTCATCTCCCATTCTGAATCCTGTGTCTGGCCTTCTATTTCCTCCACCTAGTTTCATTACCTTAAATTTACTTGGGTTTAACTTTAGTAGCCATTTGTTGGACTATTTCTTCAGCTTTTCCATGTCATATTGTAGCCTCATATTGTCTTCCTCTGTCTTAATCCTCCTCACAATTTTTGCATCACCAGTAAACATTGAGAGGAACGAATCTGTTCCCTCTGGGAGATCATTTACATGTATCAGAAACAGTATAAGTCCAAGGACTGAGCCCTTGGACTCGTCGTCACCATTTACTGGTGACTCCCCGCCACTCAGAGACCTCACCCCTCACAGTGACTCGCTGGCCTCTTGCTTAGGTACTCCCCTATCCAGTGGAGTACCTTCCCTTTCCCTCCTGCCTGCATCGCCAGCTTGTGCACTAGTCTCTTATGTGGTACTGTGGCAAAGGCTTTCTGGCAATCCAAATATATGCAGTCTGCCCACCCCTCTCTTTCTTGCCTGCTTTTGTTGCCTGGTCGTAGAATTTAATTAATACTGTGAGGCAGGACTTGCCATCCCTGAACCCATGTTGATGTTGCGTTACAAAGTTCTTTCGCTCCAGATGTTCCATTAGTTTTTTCGCAGTCTTCTCCATCATCTTGCATGATATGCAAGTTAGGGACACTGGCCTGTACTACAGTGCCTCCTGTCTATCACCCTTCTTGAATATCGGGACTACATTCGCCGTCTTCTAAATTTCTGGCATTTTACCTGTTACCAGTGATTTGTTATAAACCATGGAGAGTGACAGGCACAGCTTCTGCTCCTTCCTTCAGTATCCATGGGGAGATTTCATCCGGGCCTATAGGCTTTGTCACATCCAACTCTAGCAGATGCTTCCTCACCTCCCCACTGGTAATCACAAACTCATCTAGTGGTGTTTGGTTAGATATTCCCTCTCCTATCTCTGGGTCTGCCCCTTGCTCTACTGTGAAGACCTCCTGGAATTTCGTATTGAGTTCCCCGCACGCGTCCTTGTCGTTTGTAGTGAATTTGTCTGCCCTATCCTGTCCCTGTATGTGTGTGTGTGTGTGTGTGTGTGTGTGACTTGTGCTAGATATGTTGCAGTGAAGTATTTTAAACATTTAATTTGGTTAATTTGCTAAAACCAAATTCATGTAATTCATTAAAAGTTCTCTCAAACTGGAAATCACTTGTATAATTACACATAAAGCTCATTCCTTGTCGTTTGATTTTGTATACTGGGAATATACTTTTATTTAATTGCATGGGATCTCATATTTAATTTTGTTAATTATACATTTCTGTATTAATTTTAATGTGAAATTTAGTGAATGCAGATGTAGTTTTTATTTCATTAGAATTACAATTTCCTACATAAATTACATTTAAAAACATAAGAATAAAGGTAACTGCAGAAGGCCTATTGGTCCATACGAGGCAGCTCCTCTTTATAACCACCCAATCCCACTCATATACATGTCCAACCCACGCTTGAAACAATCAAGAGACCCCCCACTTCCACCACGCTACGCGTAATTGGTTCCACAAATCAACAACCCTGTTACCTAGCCAGTATTTACCCAGATCTTTCCGAAATCTAAACTTATCCAATTTATACCCATTGTATCGTGTTATGTCTTCATTTATAA